CATGACATAGCTACATGCGAGCGATCCAATCCCCGAACGCCTCAGGGGTGAACTTGATTCAACATGATACGAAGTCGTACAATTTAAAGTAAAAACCTTGCAAACGTAACAAATATTTGAGGCATTACGAACAAGATACATACATAGAAAACACCGCTTTGTTTTCTCTAAAAGAGAAAAGTCATAATTATTCTAGTGTTGCGTGCAATATCGTCGATATATTTATTAAAGACATTTCCACTTGGACGGAAGCGTTCAATAGGAAGTAGTCTAGGGGTGATTCGTTGTTATTACCTCAAGGTGGTCATTACACTCGAAGAAGGCAAGTGACTTACATCAGCGACCCATCGGTCGAGGTGCATTTTGCGTTGCGTGGCGTCGCTCCCTAGACACGTTCACGCGTCCGCTTAAATAAAAAATGCGATAATTTCATAGAAGGAAGCGTTGATAGAAAGAAAAATAAGAACGGGGCAAAACCGATTCGATTGTCGACCATACAACCTCATGTTGTACGCGTTGATATTTACCATTTTATTCATTTTCCTTGCCACCAATAGTGAGAATTTTCTCTCTACTTCTTAAAGTGGATTAATATTACATTATACGCGCAGAACAAATGGTCAGACAATAGAAGGCTGTGGTATGAATTAGTGAAACTGTATTCACCCTTGCGTGTGAGACACTTTGATGCGTAAGGAGACTTTTATGGAATATCTAGGAATTAATAAAGATGGAAAATGGCGCGACGATGATGGTTTACTTAAAAGTACCTACATATTGAGTTAAAGCCGGTTAGGTGAAAAATTCCATATTAATATCTTTCTCATATAAACAGTCATTTATATGCTTAGAAGTCGTAATTGCTATAATATATCCGAGTGTTAATTAACCAACAACCGCAAGTTTCTTTTTCTCCTGGTCGAAGTAACAGAAAGTAATCGCAGCACGTACACCAGGTATGACTCAGAAACTAGTCGATTGATTACGTTCGCAGGTGACCAGACTTTTCCCACACGCCTCTGGAGAAAGATCATAATTACGTTTTGCCTACTAGGCTAGCTAGAATTTAACTCGTTGAATTATTGCGTTTTCTTGGAAAGCTTATTTACTCGCTCGTTTTCAATTTTTCACTATTAGGTACATTTATTTTGTTATCGCTCTTTGTTAGATTCTGCCTCGCAAGCTCGATTGTACACGGTTGAATAATTGATTGTTGAGATTTATTTATCAAGTATCTACATGAATCGTGCGAGCGTCACTCTCGTGAAAGAAATCTTTCTCTACCGTTATCGTTCGTTTTATGCAAATTAATTGGCTGTGTCAGGTTACGCGGATGGCCAGGTTGTTTTGTCGCTGGTAATTACGGGACACGAAGTGGGCGGCGCGTAGCGTGTCGCACGCGCGCGCCTGTCGACTCTGAAGCGGATTGCGCGAGCGTGGACACGCGGATGTCGCGGCGCAGTCACGAGAGTGTGACGCCTTGCGTTGATGTCACACCGGCTGCTTGAGTGTCTATCAGATAAAGTTAGTTAGCCGGTTGTTTAACCAGACTCCATTGAAAATTCTACCTAGAAACGCACTTTTGTACGCACACTTGCGTATGCTGTCTCTGGAACGTTCAAAAGAGACTTGTTCCTTTTTATTTTCATTAATTCCTTGTCTCTTGAATTTCATGCTCGTTTATCGAGTTTAACCTTCGTTGCATGAACTGAAAGGCTCGTTCGTAAAACTTCACTGGTGCACGCATTTGCAAAAACCATTTGTGGAAATATTTGCCTCTCCTCGAGGTTGTTTCCAAATTTCAACTCTTTTGTTGCGATGAATTTGAGCGGAATGTAACTTTATTTGTAACATTCCGTTTGTTACGAATACTTAACGTTATGCGAAAGTATTTTGAATAGAGAATAGAATAGAATTTGGATTATGGATAGTTAAAATATGCATCAGTTTGTATCGCGACGCCGCGCCGCTGCCGCGCCGCCGCCGCCGCGCCGCCGAGGTGCATCGAAAGTTACGGACGAGTCGGTCGATTGTTTTTCGTGGCAGACAAGATTAACTCTACCCGTCACCGGCAATGTATTAATGACGCCGATGATGGAGAGGCGCAATGATCGTCGATGTACGTTGTACACGTACCTCGCTCGGTTTCCTCTTCGTTGCATGTCGTACACGGCACTCAGACTAATTATCACAGCTGTCGGGATTGTTGCTTCCACATCTCGAAGATATCTCGACGATCAAGCGCAACAACCAACAGTTCAGTTATTTAATACACCACGCGTTTTGTCAAATCTTTAATGTCTTACCCAAAATTCATACGTATTAAGTCGTTAGAAATTCTTTCGTTTGATTACTTTGATTAAGCGTAGAAAGTGATTGCAAGCGTATTCACACTTGGAAATAGTGTGGATGAAGATCCGGGAGACGGGGTCGGTTAATGTGACAGAGTGTTCCTCGGAGCAAATGTTCCTCGGTGGAACGAGGAAATAAAACGAGGCAACGGAATCCAGCCTTTTTGTACGGTGGCACGCGTTTCTTCGTCGTGGTACGCGGAATCAGCTACGATTAGAGTAGAAAATCAGTCGAGACTTCTCATCTGGAGTCGAGCATGTGACGCGTCGTGATTGGTGACGTTTTTGCTCTCGAACAGCACCACGAAGATGTACGTACCGCGATCTTGACGTCCTGTGAAATCGAGCTCAATAAACGAATTCCATTCGTCTACTCGCGTTTTCCTATTTTCAAACGCGGCTAATGGTAAAAATATATGTCAAAATTACGAACAGTAATTTCGTTGGTTTCCACGTTGGTCCCACGAATTAATTTGGTCGATCGCGATCGATAACCGCGGCAATCTCGCAACGTGCAATCTGTCCAGCCGTGTAATTACGCTGAGCCCGTTTAATGATTCTTAAGCGACGACTATTGGTTGTCTGAAAAAATTTTATTTTATTAAGTACAAAAGTTGAAGCATTTGAACGTTATAGCGAAAAGCAAAATATACCTAGCACGAGTTATCATTGAAAAACATCAAAGCGTTCGTTAATAAAGAAGAATACGCGTCTGACAGCAATTTAGTAAACGTTAATCGTGTTTCGGGAGAAGAATTACGTCGGTGAACGCTATTTTCAGAAGACTGGTACAACATCGTGCAGGGGGTGGAACATTGAAGCTGTTTCGTAGATCATGATTATAGTCGAGGCGAAGAGTTCTGTCGTAAGAGCGTCGCAGAGGGGTCCAGTGATTAATTATAACGCAAATATTTTTCCACGGCTCGATAAGATCCATGCGAAGCCTCTACTTTGGTTACAGCTGACTGGATCTCGGTGATTCGTGACGATGGAATCTGAACAATTCCGCCCCGCGTTTCCCCTAACTCGTACAAAAATAGGCTGCCGATATTACACGTGGCATGTTCGGATATCGCCGATGCAAGGATCTTTATCTCGATTCATTTAATCCTATAGGTATTAAACTTTGAGATATGTATGTACATATGTATCACTGCGGCATTCTGTTTGGATTTCAGAAAGGAATAATAGATGTTGTTATAATTCCTGTTACGAGCTATTTTTTAATTTGTTCTAATTGTTAAGTTTTACGGAGAAAGCAGGAAAGTGGGACATGGTGTTTCTGTGCAATCGAATCGCGTCAGCAGCGTTCGAGCCACGTTTCTAGCAAGGTCGGCAAAACGATTTCCTCTGTGCGGTATGTCTAAACTGTTCCTGTTCGGTGTACAGAATGGCCGGCGGTGAACAGAAAATAACAGAAGCGTCGAAACGTAGGACGAGGTAGCGTTAACTCACGTAGTTTAGGAGTTTGTTATTTCGGTTTTGCCGTTAACTCCCGCGAGCCAACGACAAGAGACATTCGCCAGACCACCCTGATACTCTTCTTCTCTCTCCAGCTCGCCTTCGCTGTTGATTTTCCACCGTTTTCTTGTCGTGACCAATCGACTCTTCTCTTTATTTTCGATCGCCGCGCCGTGATCGAAAATAACTGAAACATCCGATATTATCCCCCTATAATCTTTGACGTAACATCAGTTGATATTATTTCATCATTTTTCTGAAAAATCAATGGAAGACGAATTAAAATAAATCTTATGAAAGATTAAAAAGAATCGCTTGTTCACTGTAGGTGTAGTTTGTATCGTGCAATAGGGTCCGAGCACCACCAAAGCGAACGTTTTGTCCGGATGCATCAATGGAATAATCGCGAGGAATTCGTGTCGTCTGGTCCAGGTGCCCAGCAATGGCGATCAAAAGGTCTTTACGTACTACGGTGAACGGAACATCGTGGCTTCTTTTCATCCCGTCTACCTCGGGCCCCCTTTATAAGAACAGTTTACAATGGACCACACGCACAGTGACCTCGAAGCGAGTGCGCTTCTTACAGGGTCAGGGGCATGTGTCATCTATCTTAGAGAGCTTCATATTCACTCGGTGACACTAATGCCTGCTCTACGCTCGCGGTACGATCAGCTTTATCTGCGCGTTGGAACGCGGGGAGACTTCGAGACGGGTCCGTTTTTTTTCTTTTTTTCCCCTTTTTTCTTTTTTTCTTTTTTTCTTTTTTTCGCTTAAGAAATCGCCTCTTGATGACAGGCAAACGATCCAACCCTCTGGAAAAATTGTCTCGATTGTCTGAAAGGGTTCGATAAACCCGATCCTTATTTTCTTCGCGATGTTGTTCGACTTATCTTTGGGAGAAATTGTCTCGTGAAATATCTCGAGGACAGTGGCTTGAATTATGCTCCTTTTTTCTTCAGCGTGAAGAAGTCTGTTTAATAGCGATACGGAAAAAAGGACGGAATGGGCTCGATGATAGTTGACTCTTTAATGTGTAGAACCGTTTTGGTATCGACTTTTTTTTTTTTTTTTTTTTTTTTTTTTTTTGTGTTAACCACTTTAGGGATACTGACATATATTTTTTATCCGATTAAATTGATTGGTACTTAATTTCTTGACGTATTAAAGATGAATGATTTAATGTTTCAGTGGCCAACGTGGTTCTATCGACCAGATTTCCCTCTTGGTACACCACTGCCTCCAACAAATCATGTTTCAAACGCCAGCAGTGTTCCTACTTCGTCGCCTCTATCCTCCAGAACTTTGCACTTGGATGCGTCAAAGGGTCCAGAATTTCTCGACAGCAGTAAGATCCATGGGCAAACTCCAACGATATGCACGGTGAGTGAAACCTTTTCAGAGAACATTTATATTTAATAAGCAAGATAAGATTTAACAAGCAACGATGTTAGAGAAAAGTTGTTGCAATCGATATTCAATTTACATCTTTGCGACAATGAAACACTATCGGTTCTCACGATCGATAAGTGGGAAAAGGGTGTCGCGAATGCAGTCATTCGTCAATATCGAAACGATGCTTATCCTGAAACGATAAAATCGCGTGGGCGTGTTGTGGCTCGTTAGAAGGAACGCTCTCGCGGTGCCTCGTTAGCGGTAATCTGCCGTGCAACAAATGATTTAAATATAATACTTAATAATGCCACGCTAACGCACCTATACCGGCCATCGTATTCAATGCACTGACTTTTGTTTCTCGATTATCATTATCCAGCCGCGTAAATCGTGTCCCGCGATATTAATGGCACGTACTCGGGCCGAGCAGTCGCGGCAGCGATCAATCTCGTTGTCACAATTAAATGCGCCGCGCTGGCAAGCCGAAGAATAATTTATATCCAGCTACCCACGTGAAGAACGAAACCGAGGGAACAACTTTGGACGAGCTCGACTCGCTTCTCGTTGCGTTTTTGAAAATGCACCGATACGTTTTGTCAAATTTCCCCTTTAAAGTACAGCTACGCGTAATCTTTGATTATTTCACTTACGTTAGAATTCTACGTAGATCTAGACAAACGATTGTCTATCATAATTTTCTACCGAGATTCCTATTAAAAATCTGGCATTGAAGAGGAAGAACACGGTATCTTCTCTAACTTTGATTAATGTTAAGCTTCAAGACTGATCTCGTAAATAATTGGCTCCCAGATTAATCGTTTTCTGATGAACCACGCTTGTCCAGCTTTTATTTATGTTTATTCTCGAACGTAATTGAAAGTCTAAAGGGCTACTACAAACATTGAACCTTACGATTAGAATCGTGCGCGGATGCAATCGATAGCTCGGGCAATTTATTTTGAGAAGAAAAAAAGAATTGGTAGTCCCGATCGTTTCTAACGTAAGTTGAAACGTTGCAGCTGATCGATCGAAACGTTTCAACGAGGGCACGACACAGTATAGGAGCGTCTAATGGGCACGCATGATTTCTCCATGGGTTTACCATGCACTTGCACAGCCACTTTTAATCGACGCGTTTCTCCTTCGACTCTAATTCGCCATTGATTCATGAGAAATTGCTTCTTCTTCTTCTTCTTCTTCTTCTTCTTCTTCTTCTATACCTCTATACTGTGCTGTTACAGCCACCAATAGGTTTGATGTATTGACTTCATTTGCTTTTCATTCACACGCTTTGTCTTCTGTATTTCATTCTCTTTTCATTCAAACTATTCAACTATCGGATGAAATAGTCAAATTTCACAAAGTACAATTACTCTGTTATAAGTAAAGCTGTTCAAAACTTTGCGATTTCGCACACACAATTAATACCCAATTTTCTAAATTAACAGTTTATATTAACCTGCTAGATGGCCAGCCATTTCTTCTTCGTCACGAATCGCTAAATTCTCTCGACTGGTAATATGTACTTATGTTATTCATTATCGTACGCTTAATCTTATGTAACGTGTAATACGTCGCTGCATCTCACGTTGATTTCCATGGAGATGGAAAATGGCAGTAGCAGTCGATTTGTTTTTTTATCAGGCATTTTATAAACGTCAATTGTATATCGAAAATGAGTCAGACGTTGAGCAATATGAAATTTATGCGATGACACCTTTCGTAATAAGCTGTTCATAGTTTCGTAGCAGCAAGTCGAGCAAACGCGTGGGCGTTACTCGTGAATTGAGAGAAAAGCGTGAAATTGGTCGCGAGCCAATTATTCAATTTCTGTCCAACGATCAACTACCATCAGCTGCGTAGCTTGAATTTTCTTAATTTCGATTTGTCGATTCAACTTTCAGTTTAATTTGCAAAATGAAACGATCGTGTTCGAAATAATTACAATTATAAGGAGACAATGAAAGACGAGAAACAATAGCGACGATGCATGACTGAAATTCAAAAACCTTCTGAACGATATTTATCGTTCGTTACTTTTGACCCGTGTCGCTTAATTGCCGCTTAAATTCGCGTTACACGATGTCAATTACGATTTCATGGGGAGCGGAACTCGACGGCGGTACAGTGTGGCATGCATCGAAAGGAATCCTGCTACCGGTCGCCGAGATGTCGGCTAATAAAGGATGAAAAGAAAAAAAAAAAAAAAATCATTAACTAATCATTAAGTGTAACCATTTACCGAGCAACGACAGAGAAAGGGAGGTAAAGAAAGAGAAAAAAGATTCAAAGAGAGACCGACGCGGTGACGAGGCAACGACGACCGGTGACCAACGGCTAATGACGATGACTTTTTTGTTGAATATATTCGTTTTCTTTTTTCTTTTTGTCGACCAACCACTTTTCACCGCTCACGGGAACACCATCGTCCCCCGAACGTAATCTCTAATTACTGTTATTACGAAAATATTCCCTCGGTCGGTCGGTACTTCCGTATTTTTTACGCGTAGATTGCGAACGTCCGCTGTGTCTCACCGCGGCGCTTTACGTTTCGTTTCATTAACCATGGAAAATTGAATCAAGATCAAGGAATTATTTATTTCATTGAAAGACTCATCCCGAATTCAGAGAGTAGAATTGGCGCATTCTGATTGAAAGAGGAGTAATTTTAATTGGGTTTCTCGTAATGCCTCAGGAAATAGCTAAAATTCCAAATACTATGGTAAATTATCTGATACTTGCATGAAATTCAGTTTGATGAATCAGTCGCGAAGAAGGGTTAAAAACATTCTGGTAGGTTCGTGCAGTGCGGTGAAATCGCACGGGTCCGACAGATCGACGTTAAAATCGCGAAACGATGCGAGGGGACTGCAGTTGGGGGCTTGGTATTCTTCCGCGTTCGAAAACGGCTAAAGTAGGAACGAAGTAATTAGCGTTTCGAAAGTTTCGTCGGACTGTCGTATCGCGGTTGAAGGTAGAAATGTAATTGCACCAACGTTTAATTAGATCGTTTGCACTCGCGTTGCCCTTCGGTATCAAACTTGGCCTGTCCTTACGATACGGATCAGCCTTAATTCACTGGCTGGTCTGCGCTATTAATCTCGTTTCCCTGGCTCCCTGCTAAATTTAGCGTGTCTGTTAATTCAACGTGCGTGGATACACGCATCCGTTCCTATCGATTCTTACTTTCAATCTTCTTTTGTTCTTGTATCTACATATATACCTATGTAGATAGGTAGAGTTCCATTGTAATAGTTTCTTTTCATTTTTTTAAATATAAAGAAATAGCGTGTTTAACACTTGTTATACGGACACGGAATGACCCTTCCTTGAGTCGATGTTAAACACCTCGGGATTCCTAGAGTTAACAACTCAATCGATCGTCCATTTAGCAAACGTTCGATGATCGTTCATTCATTCGCAGTTGGCTGAAAGTTTGAATCAACGTCGAGTAGTCGCATCAGTCAATGCAAGTCGCGAACGGTTCAACGTCCTTCTTGAACCGTTCATCAACCGCACAATCAGGCTAGACTCGACGATCAGCGTCATCATCGTTTGAAAGACGCGCGTACGTATGTACGTAAGTACGTACAATCGTTGACTGATAGCCTGCCGATCTTGTTGTCCTCTTTCTCGCCAAGCCTGAAACACGACTAGGCTAATCAGTCATTTCTTAGCTAGCGTTCGATGTCGCCGACTAAACTTATGAACGCGTTCCTTCATCCAACCTACAGAATTACGTTTTATCGCGGTTCGTTAATTATTTCTTGGAAGTTGGAAGCCGATACCCGGAGATGCTTCGCGATACGATTCAACTTTATTTTCTTAGCAAAAATAAGAAAATTGGTCTAATCCCGAGGATGAGAAGCAAATTTATGAGCAGCCGGACATTAAGATGTGGTAGTCAGGAATCGTTAGCCATCTTGTTTTTGCAATTCGTCCTTGTCCGCTTGGTGTTGGTCCTTCCGCGGTTCGTCAGCGCAGAGCGAAGAAACACGCTGATTGCGATGTTTCCCTCTTTTACGAGGCTCGCGGCGCGGCGTGTGGTCGTCCTTAGCTAATTCCTCTTGGAAAAATCGAGATTCTCCACGACCGCCACGATCTCGACAATGCTCCATTCTAGCTGAAAACTCGCCAAGAGATTCTTACGTTTCGTTGCTTGAATAATATAGGATCGTATAAAGAAGAAAGTATAAACTGAAGTTCAAGATCAAAATATGATATCACCAGTGTTCTTAAGATTGGAAAGTATGCGATTCATTTAGCAGTGAAAAAAAAAACGAATCGAACAGTTGAGTTTATGGTAATAGTGAATTTGCAAGTTCAGTAACCTACATTCCTTTGCGACCAGTTTTGTGGCGAAAGTAACACAGTTGCGATAACGTAGTTACGCTGGAAACTTGATCAAAGCGTAACACACTTTGCTATTCTAGCCGTCGACGATCATTCTTAAGCATTCCTGATAAAATCGAGTTACTAATTTGAATAATGGAATCGTTCCAGTTACTGCTATCTACCATTTATGGCATGGTGTAATTGAAAATCGTTCACTACATATACGTATACGGGCATATTCGAACCATTACCGCTAACGTATGCGTTTAAATAAAAAGTTTCTGAAAATGACATTATATTCCATAGTGGGGAGGGGACGCGTTCATCTGATCAGGTGGATGCATCTGCATGTCGGTCACGCGCTGCCATGTTTATGCACCGATAAGGTTTCGAATTAATGCTGGCCGCTTTTAACTAATAACCTTTTCGCGCTTGTCGATCGGGGTCGTGTGGGTAATAACACAGGGATATTGCGTAATTGTGCAGGGAACGATGCCGTTCCATCCATCCCCCGTGGTTTCGGCAGAGAAAGCGGATCGAACGAACGGACGGCGCGGCCGACCGACCGACCGGCTCGTACAGGAAAACGTTCTTAGGCCTAACAGCCGATCCATTAATTCGGGCTTTATTAAATTTGCCGCGACCCCCGTAAT